TTCGGAACCCCTTCCCCGTGGGAGAGAAAAATCTTTTTTTGCTGGACTTGCTTGGGAAGCTGTGAATCTGGGGTTTCAGAGGCAAGCTTCCTCACCATGTGGGGAGAACTCATCTGCAGAATGAAGCCACACACAGAGGGAAGCAAAGCTGAGAGATGGAGAGACGGAGACAGAGAGAGACAGAGAGAGACAGAGAGAGAGAGAAAAAGTAATTGATTCAATGACTTGTAGGCACAATTGGAGCCCATCTCTGGCCCTCTCAGCCACATGAGCCCACTGCATCAGCTAGGGCTCAACCAGAGAAGTAGAGAGACAGCTAGAGAGATGCGGACATGGATTTGTGACAGGGAACTGGCTTGTACGACTGTGGGGCTGGCTGAGCAAGTCTGAAGTCCACAGCACAGGAGGGCAGATCACAAGCAGGCCAGCCCCCTGGCAAGGCTGAGGCTTGACATTCACAGGTTTCAGTCGAGAAGGATGGTTTAGAGGGAGGGGAGAGCCGTTGTTGGTGCAGCAGCTGCTCGAGTCTCTCTGTCAGAGGAGGCCTACGCCTATTTTTCAAGCACTTCTAACTGACTGAGCCAGGCCCACCCAGGATCATCTCCAAATGGCTAACACAGAGTCAACCGATTAGGGACTTTAATCACATCTGCAGTCCATTCACCACAGCGCCTACACTGGTGTTCAATGAAACTCCTTGGAGAAAGTGCATGTGCGCCATGACGGCCACTGGCTTCTTCTGTCCTCCAGCTCTTGAGAGAGACCACCTGTAGCCTACCCCAAATGGGAACCATTAAGAAAGGGAATTCTGGGACTGTAACTCAGCCTGGCCAAGCTGACACATCAAAAAGCCATCATTCCCATAAATTCCTTTTTTCCCCCATAAACTAAATTTGGGTTGGGTTTCTATCACTTGGGATGAAAAGGCTCCTGACCCGGTTGCCATTTATTGAGTGCCTTACACAGACTGTCTCACTTAATCCTTACACATACACAAATGAGATAGGTATTATCTACAATTTGGAGACTGAGGCTCAGAGAGGTTAAGAAATTGTTCAAAGACGCAGAGCTCCAGACAAAGCCAGTCTTTCTATTGCCAATGCTATAATGCCAATCTTTGCCAAAAGGAGTCATCCTGGTTGGTATCTGAATTCCTTGTACAGTTTCGAAGCTGACTTCAGCAAAATTATTTTTTTGAGCTAGAAAGAGGCCCAAAGCTGGGCACTTTATTCAGCTGATGACAGAACAGGGCCAAGAAACAGATTTTATCCTCAGGACGCAATGCCTGGCCTAGATGTGTTATTCAGCGATGCAGTCAACTGTTGGATCTGTTTCCCCTGTCATGTTTGTGTCTGATTCTGGGGGGGATTATTGTTTAAGGTTTTAAGGTTTAAGGAATGTCTCTTCCTACATGAAATAGCAGAGATCTTACACTCTCCTTCAAACATCGGCCAGGGTCACAATGTCGGAGAGCTGTGGTGGAAACCCCAGGAGAGAGTGATCAAGAATGGAGAGGGGGCCAGAACTACAACATCAGGTCTGAAAGAGGAGACATCATTACAGATTTTACAGACATTGAAAAGATAATAGGAGCACATTATGAATAATCTTACACCAACGAATTCAACAACTTAGAAGAAATGGACAAATTCCTTGAAAATGGACACAATGAGAAAGACCTTGAGTTGGGACTCCGGTGAGCTGAACCTCCTAACCCATAACCAATGGGCACTTTTGAGGTCTTACCCGACCCCTGTGCGGCATCTGACACTGCTGACCACGCCTCCTAAAAACCTTCCTCTTGTGGCTTCCCTGAAACACGCTTAGTGCATCTCCTTTTAGCTTCCTTCTCCCTCCTCCTTCCTTTCCGCTTAATTACCGTACCCTCAGTGACTCTCCTGGGCCTTCTCTGCTCCTTATTCCACGTTTGCACACAGGCCTTTAACTCCCATTTGTGAGCTGATGACACCCAAATTTGAGCCCAAATTGCTTTACTGAGCTTCAAATTGACTAACAATCCAACTTCTGTCTAGACATTTGTCTATGGGGGTCATTGAACCACTGCAAGCTCCCGCCTCTTGGATGTCCTCAGACCTCACAAACTCAGCTTTTCCTGTCTGTTAGTAACAGCCTGTTTTCATTTGGAAACTATCCCTCCGCCATTCCCAATCCATGTAGGTCAGAAAGAGCCCACCCCTCACGAGGCCTGATTGTACCCCCTCCAATCCACCCTCCACACTGTTGACTGAGTGGTCTTCCTCCAAAACATATCTCATTACAGTGGCTTCAAAGCCGGGGCCCAAATTCTTTGACATTGCTCCATCGAGAGGTGGGTGTGCCCCGCTGAATCTAAGCAGCTCTGTGACTGCTTCAACCTGTAGAGCCCCCCCCAAAGTGACACTGTGTGACCTCCAAGGTTAGGGCAGAAGGTCCATGCAGCTTCCAATGGTCCTGCAACGCTCACTGTCTGGAGGTCCCCTCTTGGGAACTTCCCTCTCAGAACTTAGCCACCACATTGTGAAAAGCCCAAGTCACGTGGCGGGGCCACGCGCAGGTGCTTTTGCGAACAGTCCAGGTGAACCGTTTTCAGGTTATTGCAGTCCTGGTACCAGAGCTGAGAATCATTTCGGAAGTGGATCCTGTAGCCACCGCTGTTCCAGTTGCCTCCATTTGAGTCTTCTCAGCTGAGCCTTCAGACATAACGGAGCAAAGAAGAACTGAGCTCTGTCCAGTTTCCTGACCCACAGAAGTTGTGATCGGAACCCAATGGTTGAGTCAAGCCGCTAAACTTTGAGGTTGTTTGTTACATAGTAACCGTAACGGGAACACTCATGCCACACCCCTGCTTAAAAAGTTCCAGGGATTCCTCATGGCCCCCAGGATAAAACCCAAATTCTTTTGCCCTTCATTACTAGCTTCCTGCCCACCCCACCAGAGCCACCTCCTGTCCCAGCCACAGGAGCCCTGGTCCCAGCCACACTGCCATTCCTGAAATGTTGCCTACTTTTCTAGGCTTCCGTGCCTTTGTGCATGCTATTGCTCTTGCCCAGGTGTCTTTCTGACATCCAGATATTGAACCAAATCATCTAGAAAGTTAGGGGATGTAAATCTACTTCCTTCCCTGAAGTCTTTTCCCACGAACAATAGTGTTCAAGTGGCCCTAAAACCGTTCAGGTGCCCTGCAAAAGAATATTCAAAGAATGTGGGTTATTTTCAAGGTCTCAGAATAAAATACCAGTTACACATAAAGATTCTGGAGCCAGATTGCCAGCCTTCAAATCCCAGCTCTCTCACTCAGTAGCGGGCAACTTGGTGCAAGTTACTTGACCTCTCTGTGCTCCAATTTCCCCATCCATAAAGTAGAGTAATAAATAATACTTACTTTGTAGAGTTACGGTTAACATTAAACGAGTTAAAATGTGTAAAGTGCTTAGCGCCTGGCAGAGAGTGCTTGGATAAATAAGTGTTTAAAATAAAATAAATCTCCTGCAAGCATTTAACTCGAGTTGTTGCTGAAGTCTCATTCCATATGGCCTTTTTGGGGGGGACTTCCCCCATGCCTCCCTCCACTCCAGCTGGCTTCTCAGATGGATGCTCATCTTCAGCTTATGACATTACAGCCTTTGTCACGGTCTGTAAGCCCGTCCTAGTCGTCGTTGCTACCCTCAGGCCATCTATCAGATCCTTGAAGGCAGCGGCTGGGTTTGACTCCTTTCTCTCTCCCCAGAATCTGAGTCATATCAGGCCTTCAATAAATGTGTATTAGATTGAATCTTGCTTTGATTTTTCAATCACAGTAACTCAAGTCCAGGAAAGGCTAAATGAGTTCTTCTAAGTCATACAGGTAATTAGTGGCTGAATAGAGACTAACACTTGCAGTCCTGTTCACTTCTAACTGCCGGGCCCAAGCTTGTTCTCAGGGCAGTGTGTGTGTGTGTGTGTGTGCCCACCAGTATCACCACTAACTCCTGCTGACAATCTACTTTTAAAAGTATTTTATTCGTGCCTAAAATAATTCACAGTCTTTTAGCATCCTTCCTCTGAGCCCCTGGATTGTTTTAGGGTTATTTAATCACTATTATTCCAGGTGAAAGAGGGTTCCTTGGAAGGAAGTGGATTTGCATCCTTCCAATTGTTCAGACGATTTGCTGGATAATTCCGATGCCTTGCACTCCTCCCTAAGGTAGGAGGCCGTTGCTTTCACCCGTTCACTTTTTCCAAGTGTGGAGGTGAGGGCAGCATTATTCAGAAAATCTAATTCAATTTGGGGCCTCCTGCTGTCGGCTTGGACAGGGATGGCCGAATCCACTCGCTTCTACCAAATGCCACATTATCAACACCAGACGGCGCTGTGTCCTCGCTGGCTTTTTAACCACCACGTCGAGCACACAAAAGGCCCAGGTTTTCCTCCAGGACAGTTCAGGGGATGGTTCCCAACATCCCCCTTTCCCGGTGGCAGGCGCATTTCGCCGCAGTGTGTGTGTGTGTGTGTGCGTGTGCGTGCCCCATTTTAACCAGTCTTGTGGAGACCTGTTTGAAAGGCTGTGTCTCCTGCTTTCAGCTCTTTTATCGATGCTGAGATTGCATTTTCTCCGTGATTTGAAACAAATCCATTTAAATCAGAATGAACTGAGGCCCTTCTAGGCACCAGGCGCTGTGCGTTCCTTGCCTCCACCTCCCTAGCGTTAAACGCATCCTCCAGATTCAGGGACTCAACCCCCGAGGCTTTCCGACTGTGCCGGGAGAGCACACACGCCCTACTCGCTGTGTCCTTGGAGAGGTTCCCTCCCGGCTCACCAGTCTGGGGAGGGTGAGGCGCGTCCATCCCTCCCAGTACCTGGACCACCAGCTCCCTGAGCGTTCCTCCGCTACTTTCTTCCCTCCGCCCCGATCTGTAAGTGGTATTTTTGGGGGGTGGAGGAGGGCGGAGAGAAGGGCGGGGAAGGGGCCGGCGGGGAGGGGCGTCGGAGCGCTGTCACCGAGTGTCACGCCGCCCTCCCCGCCCCTGCGCCCGGGGTGTGGGAGCGCGGCAGAGCGCGCGGCAGAGGCCGGGCGCGTGGGGACGCGGAGTGCGGGGTCTGCGCGAGCGGCGCGGCACACGGAGCGCGCTGGCCGCCTGAGCTCGGCGCGGAGCCCGGAGCCCGGAGCCCGGAGCCCGGAGCCGGCCGCCACCCGCCCCGTGTGCGCTGGGCGGTAGCCCCGGCCGCGGCAGCCCGGCTCCCGGGGAGCGCGCCCCGCCATGGAGCCTTCGCACAAAGACGCCGAGACGGCGGCGGCGGCGGCGGCGGTGGCGGCGGCAGACCCCCGGGGGGCGTCCTCGTCCAGCGGGGTGGTGGTGCAGGTCCGCGAAAAGAAGGGTCCTCTGCGCGCTGCCATCCCCTACATGCCCTTCCCGGTGGCGGTCATCTGCCTCTTCCTCAACACTTTCGTGCCGGGACTTGGTAAGACGCGGCGGCCGCGACGCCTGCGCCCCGGGCCCCACCGGGGGAGGGCGGGCAGGAGAGGGGCTGGGGAGGGACCCTTGGGGGCGCCCACGGGCGGCAAGCGCTGCGCCCGCGTGCACCGGCCCGCGCTCCTAGCGCCCCCTGGCAGGTGGCAGAAGCGCGTGGAGTGGGCGTCCCGGAGGCAGGCGCCGCGCGGGGCTGCCCGACCTGCCTGTTGGCTTCTCCGACCGGTGGTCGAGGCTGTCTGGCCCCGAAGAGCCGGAAACTTTGCCGGGAATGGTGGAGCCCGCGGGCGGCAGCCTGGACGGCTCCCCTGGCCCCGGCTAGGCTCCTCTCCAGGCGCCCCGAAAGCCTGCCCCTTCTCTCCGCCGCGCCCCTTTCTCCGAGGGCCACGGAGCCCCACCGGGAGGAGCAATGGGGCCGTGCATGGCGGCGACCAAGCTCCAGGACGTTGGAGAAGTGGGCCGAGAGGGGGAAAAGGGGGCCAAGCCGGGCTTGGGAGATACCCCGCATCCCCGCCTGCTTTCGCGGGGTGCGGACAGTGTGGGGGCGAGAGCTCTTTAGCCAGAGTCTCCTCCATCTCGTTCCGGAGTGCCTGCGATTCCGCCAGCACCCCCGCGGGGCGCCGAGGGCGTGGGGGATGATATTATTAGTTTGGGTGCCTGTGGGTTTGAACCGCACTTGGCCAGAGGTGACCCCATAACTCCCTCCTGTCCCTTCCGTTCCTGAGAAAGTGGAGAGCGCGCCTGTGTAATTCTGTGTCGGACTCTGGCTGCCTGGAGGGACCCTAATGGCATCCATCTCCCACATTTTAAAACAGAGGTCCATCACAGAGATAAGGGTGCGAAGAGACAGGGAACGAGAAGTTTTCCTGACCCTCCCTCTCCTAACCCCACCCCTAAATCTCTGCCTGCACGCTCGCTCTCCCCCCTCTTCCAGCTTGCCAGCTTGGCACGGGCACAGACTGGAGAGGCAGGCGCCTCTGTGGCCCCCTCCCCCCCAGGAGAAAGCCTGTCCCTGCGTGCGAGCCAGTTGCCAGCGAATGGCTCCCAGTTCCCAAGAGCAGAGGTCAGGGAAATGATTTTCTGTTTTCCTTGGCCTTTCCCATGGCCTCGCTGTCGGCCAGCTTCGCAGGGTCCTCTGCAGCGTTGATGGCGAAAGTCACACCCACCCACGCAGGACGTGTGCCCTCTCCCCTGGCGCTTGCTTGTCCTTCTGCCCCGGGAGCTGCTGTGGTGAGAGCCGCGCATCTGCCGGGGCAGGAAGTTAGGTGGTCTTCGGTTGTGCTTGCCCCTCCCGGGATGCCTCCAGCAGCCTACTTCCCTAGTTGGGGCGGTCAGGCAGCTCTCTTTGCACATTTAGACAGTGTGAGGAAGCAAGCTGATGTTAATTTCGTTGTGTCAGAAATTCCCACCTGCTGGAGTAGAAACACTCTGCCATCCATCTCTCTGGGGATGTTAAGATCGTGAGCAAGGGTGCTTCTCCATTCCACTCTTTTTAAAGTGATGAAGTAAATGCCATTCTCTGGTCTTTTGAGGAAACAAACACATTGGTGCCAGGTGGGAGGGGCTACACCCAGTTGCTGCTGGTCCGGGGAACCACCCCTGTGGGAGTGCACCCCCAAGAGGCAGCAGCTGCCCACCTGTGCACGCCCTCCTGGCTCTCACCTCGCTAGGTACCTTTCCCGCCCTTGGCTCTGCTGCCCTCGCCCCCTGCCCTGGGGATCCAGCTTTCCCCTCTTCGCACTTCCCTTTGTTAGATCAGAATCCTATGGGATTTGGGTAAGGAAGCTTTCTAAGAAGGCAGGAGAAAATAAGCAAACTCCAAAAGTAATGAATCGGGTGAGCTGTGAGTGTACAGACTTCTGAATTTCCCATGGCCGAATGCAGGCATTTTCCCGTTGTGTTTTGGTTGTCATTGTGCATCGTTCTGGGTGCACAGGCCCCTCCCCTCGCCACTGAAGGGGGTTTCGATCCTTGGGAGTGTTTCTAGTCTGTGAGTCAGGGACGCCTGTCTCTCCGGGTTGCTGGGAGGATGGAATGAGATTGCTGAAGCCCAGGGTCTGGTATAGCAAGTGCTCCCAAGATGGTGGGTCCCTCTCATTCTTCCCCTTCTGAGCAGTGGTCCTATCTCCAGGTGTGTGTGAGGGTGACCTTCGAGACCTTTCTTTGGAGTATTTGTTGATCTCTCTACTCCCCTCCACCTGCAGTGGAGTCCTGGACAGCAAAGTGGCTCAGGCAAGACTTGCAGGCGTTTTTTGCACCCCCAGAAGTGATGTGAATGGTCCCAGCTCTTAGAATTCCTCCCCTGGGGCCACATCCACTTCCCCAGGTCCCCTTGGCTTCTCTGAAGCTCTTGTGAAACTGAACATTCACCTCTGGCTCTGCCCTTTGATGAAATGCAGGTTCTTTCAATCCATTCACTCATTCATTCGACAAACACAGAACACGCACCGCATGCCAGGCACTGGGGATGTGACAATGAATATGTCAGTCAAGAGGTCATAGATTGTTGAGGAAAATTGATGCAAACTTTATTTAAATTTGATTTGTGCTACGTTTAGGCAGCAATTAATTCTTCCTGGGTGGGGCGGAGGTTCAGAGACAGCCTCCCAGAGGGTGTAGTGTTAGGCTAGCCCCCGCTGAGGATACCCATCACGCCACCCCAGGCATTCGCCATCCTCTCTTCACTCCCACCCTCTGGAAAAAGGTCAGACCACGGGACCAAAGATCTTGTCTTTCTTCTGGAAACTTCCTTCCTTGCAAGGCTTCTCCTCATTTGCGGATCGGATGAGAGCGCAAACATCGGGCTGAGTGTAAGGCTTGCTTTTCCCCTGGTGTAGGTGTCACAGGTGCATCCAGTCTGCAGGGCTGCCATGGAGAAGCCCAGTGCTGACAATTCCCAGGCGCCTCTCCATCCAAGCCGCAGTGCTGTCAGATAACACTGGTATCACAGGAGGGGTGTTTCCTCTCCTGGGCGTGAATGAGAAGGAGAAGTGATTTATGAACGCTCTGACTCCTCGCTGGAATAAACAAAATAGATGATGGTAAAGACAGCTGCTCCCAGTCCTATTCAGTGAAATTCTATTAATGAGGACCACTGCCCGTACCTTCATAGTCCAACAAGTAGGGCATTTATAAGTATATACACAATTACTCATGCATGTAATGAAAATTCATTGTTATGCCCCCAAATGGCCAGAGACTGTGTTTGTTGGTCAGGGGAAAAATTATACTTTCATATTAAAAAATTATATCTATCTTGATTGACTTAGTTGATAAGTTGATAACTCAGGTAGTGACAGGGAGAGTGGGAGGGAGCAGAGCTCCCACTCACGGTTAACCATTCCATCAGATGATGTTGGCCGTTAATCTACTATTGAATATTCATGAATATTCATCTATTCCTCATATACTGCTTACTCTCTGACACTCAACCAAGGTCTTACTTTCCCGGTCAGAGTACCACAGGCTGGCTCTGCTTCTCTCTCTCTTTCCTCTAGGCCCAAGGCTTGAACTGATGATTAACCATGCCCTACCTTGTGGCATCTTTTACATTTTGGGCTCTTTGTTACTGTTTCAAGAGTTTGTTCTTTGTCTATCTAAATAGCTTAAGCTCCTTAAGAGCAGGAACCATTTAAACTTTCTCCATGACAGAGTATGTTGTTTATGAGTACATATTGACCAGAATTATACTCCTGGAATAGGCATTAGAGACCATCTGGTCCAACACCTTTATTTTATGTGTAAGTGAGGCAGACCTGAGGATGGAAGGACCCAGGAAGTTTACATACTGCTCAACCTTTTTAAGGAAGTTATTTGAGGATGTATTTTAGCAAAACAAGAGAGTAAACCAAGAAAGAAGATATAAGACCCAGGAAATAATGGATCCAATTCAGGGCAGCCATGAAAAGCAACCCCAAAATTGTTCAGCAGGCCTGGAAGCAGTCAGTCTTCATTAGAGTGGGAGGATGGAAGGCTCCAGAAAAGAGGCCTTTGAGAATGGTGTGAGAAGGGGACATTCGACAGAGTGGAGAGTATTATCGTGATGTTGCAAGAAATTAGAGTTGTGGGGCTGGCCCCGTGGCCGAGTGGTTAAGTTCGCGCGCTCCGCTGCAGGCGGCCCAGTGTTTCGTTGGTTCGAATCCTGGGCGCGGACATGGCACTGCTCATCAGACCACGCTGAGGCAGCGTCCCACATGCCACAACTAGAAGGACCCACAACGAAGAATACACAACTATGTACCGGGGGGCTTTGGGGAGAAAAAGGAAAAAATAAAATCTTTAAAAAAAAAAAAAAAAAAGAGAGAAATTAGAGTTGTGACAAAAAACAGAAAGCAAGCAAGAATATCCGAATGCGATCAATAACTTCAGTAAAGACAGAAAGCTGTGCAAGCATTAAGATCCAAAAATGAAGCAACCTACCCAGCTAGATCAGGAGGTCAGCAGGTTTCAGAAAGAAGACTAGAAAGATTCCAAACAATAAATGGAGTGAGAAAGAATTTGAGGATATTAGCGATATGGTGTTGAAGGCACATATTTCTCCTACCAACAAGAAAAAAGAGAGGTTATCAGCAACTTCAGGAAAAACAAAAAGTTTGTCATGAAAGGCGTAGCTCAAATATGAAGCAAATCGGTCTAGTCTGATTTTGAGCAAGTGGTAGAATGTAAGAAAGGCATAGATCTGTATTATTGGAACAGTGGTGCTCGTTATGGGCTCTTAGCTTCTCTTTGACTCTGCAGTGAAGAATATTTGCTTGGTCATAGTAACATAAATGCTGCTCAGTAGTTTCCAACTTCAGCCAACCACAGACAAATTACTGAAGACTATTTAATAATAGCCATAAAGGAGGAGGTAAAGGATTCCCACCTTGACAATGTAAAATGAAGTTGGCAGGTAGAAGACAAGAGAAGTAGAATTGTAGTAGATTAAATTGTTGTTTCCAATTATTCCCTGTCCTTCTTGAAAGAGGATAGCACATCCCCACCTGAGGCCAC